AGGAACCTATGAAACAAACCATCCTCTTTTTTCTTTTTTTTTTTTAATTTAACTTTGTTCTACAGCTGGTAACTCAGGGTTTCTTTCTGAATTATACAATAAACGTGTCATTCAGTTGACGTTATTTTACTGACTGACTTTTCCCCGCGGAATAAGCGACCCCCATCGTTTCCCCACGTCATACTGGGATAATGTTTCTTACTTGCTTTCTGGGAGATCTGTAAAGCTTTTTCATCTGGCCCCGTGATGGGAAAAGCAGCAGTACTATTGCAGGGCTGCATGTTCTGCCACCTCCTCTCAGGTGCAATCCCTCGCTTTTTGCAGTGGGAAGTAATTAGAACCAGTCATGGAACAAGGCAGTGATCAGCAGGCAAGGTGGCAGGTTGTGGAGGGGAATTTCTTACTCTCAGGACTTTTTAGTGCTAATAAAAACCAACACTTGGAGGCAAACTGTGCTAGAAATAAATTCCTGACCCATTCTGACTTGCAGGGAATCGCACCGGTTCGGTGGCGGCTGTTTCCCAGGAGGAGCAGGAGAGCTACGGGACTGCAAACGCTCACGTGCTCAAGGATGCAGCTGAAGCCAGCAAAGGTTCTCATGTGAATTTCTGCTACTTCTGGCTGATTATAGAACGACAGGGGAAACTTTCTTTTTTGCTTTTCCCTTTTGCTTAGTTCCGGTTGATTCCGAAGTGGAGAATTTTCTCTGAGATGTACAGCTCCATCCTCCTCTACTCACATCCAGGCAGGTCCTGTTTTAATCCCTGGAGCAGCCAGCAAGAAGCTGAAATAGTCAGGATTTTTTTCTTACATTTTTTCCACGTACTGCCCTTGTGCCTGATGCCACTGCAAGGAGGAGGCCAGCGCGCACTGGATCTTCTCACTGGGTTTGCCACTGGCCCCCAGCAGAGCTGGATTTAATCTTTAATTTTGCTGATAGCCGGGTAGGGGGACACGTTACAGCCTTTACTGAATCCTGTGTTGGATGCACCTGTAGCTTCTGGGATCTCCGTCACTTTGGAGAACAGGGGGAGCAAGAAGGGCTACACCTTGCTTTCTGGCATGCTTTTAACCAAGTTGTTCTGAGTGATCTTTCCATAAGTAAATAAAAAATAAATTTTTTTTTCTTTTTTTTTAGTTCCAAGTCAACCAAGTGCTGTTATTTTCTAATTGCAGTGTTCAATAAAAGCGGACTTGTTGATCTTCCTGTGTATGAGAACTGTAAGTGTTTGTAACGGGTTGGGGGGGCCCCCTCGTTCCCTTTCTGGTTTTGCCTGGGCAGTGTTAAACCTTTGCCAAATACAGTTAGGACCAACTGCTGTCTTAACTGAAATTGCATTATTTGAGGTGAAAGCTGGGGCTGTGGCGGGCTGCATCTCTAATGCCTCTTGCAGGGAGCTAGAAGAAGCCGAATGATCTGCTCTCACGAGAGTCTGAGGTCATTTAGGTTTAACCGGGGACAAAGAGGATGTACAGAGGGCAAAAGCGCGTTTAACTTTCGTACAGAAGGAAATCTTTACAAGGGAAGCTGCTTGTGTTATTTCAGGTGTTCCATAGCTGACCTGACCCTTAAGGTTTTGTCCTGTACGTCTGTACGAAAGCTCAAGGGACCAGAAATCCCGGAATCCAGCCTCGAATAGCTGAGTCTACCTGGAATTAACCTGTGTAGAAATAAGTGTGTTAATCCAGAGACAAGGAGCCTGAAAACGGTACTGAGCAGCTCTCTTTATATAACACAGCTTCTGTGTAACAAAAGCTGGACTTGCCTGGTTTGGGGCAATAAATCAGCAGTTTTTCTGCTGTAGAAGAGGTTGACCCAGCTGAGAGGCTGGTTTCCTTCTTCCTACTGTATGAAGCAGTCATGCTTTCCTCTTAATGATGTGGTACTGACCTCTGTCAAATTAACCCCAGCATAAATAAATGTGGTTTGGCCTGATAAATATTCCCATCATGATTTAGGCTGTCTTTAAAACTGAAGGCCGGTAACTTTCTCAACAATCTTTTCTTTTTTCTTTTTTTCCTGAGCACCCGCGCTGCTTTTTAACTTCCCACCCAACTACTGCACTTACCCTCTTCAAGTCCCCACCTTCAGGTTAGTTCACATAATTTTTTTTCCCTGCATCTTTAGATGTTTGTGGACGGCCAGTTGTGCAGCTGGTGGCCTCCTGGGTGCCGCCACCTCCTTGTGGCAGCCACCGCTGCCGTCCCAGGAACGCGGGAGGCTTCAGAAATACGCGGCGACTACAAGCGCCTTCGACGGTATGTGGGGCGGATGCTGCGCTTTCATGTAATATTCAACAATTTAATCCCTCTTTTAACACGAAGAGAACCTTTAAAATATTTCAAGGTCTTCTTTTGCAAGTACATAGGGGGCTCTGAATAAAACCCTCATTCATGCTATGAAAGCTGGAGGTCCGCTGCCACTCCATTTTCTTGCCTCCGGTTATTAAAACATCAAGCTGTCTTACTACTTAAGCTCAGCTAACTTGCTGCCTTCCTCCTTTTGTGTTACGCTGGAACACCTGCCATTAATACTAATTCTACTCTGGAGGGAAACTCCCTTTCAGATATGCTTGTCTGAAAATAAATTGACATGTAAAAGGTCTCTTTTGTCGAGAAGCGCATGTAAAGTGCCGGGGTAAGAAGCTGATCGCTTACAAAAGGAGCCACTGACTCTTTAAACGCCGTGTGTGGAGAGGGTTATAAATGTTAAATATGGGGGGCGATGCTGGAAATGGGCTGACGTGAGACGGCTGGGGAAGGATCGCGTAGCTGCGTCCTCTTTCGTGTTCGACTTGCAGGGTTTGGGTGATATTTGCCTAAACCTGGGGTGCTAAATCTGCTGCCTTGTGTGGGCTCCACGGGGACCCGTTTGGAGAAAACTCTTTATTTTTTTTTTAAATGTTGTTAAGAATAGCTCCCTGCTTCTTAACACAGGAAACAAAAACTAGGAGCGTTGGTGGTGAGTCCTTGGATTTAGCTGCGTAATGAACTCCAGGGCGCTGTCGGTTTTTTCCTGGGATAAAAGTTTTACCACTTTCAGTTCGGAAGGAGTAAAAGAATCCTTGGTTAGAGGATTTATTCTGTCATACAGGCAGTAGAGTGAGACAGAGAAAGGTAAATATTTTTAATGGAAAGAACGATTTTGTCTGAGTTTCTCACACCCTTTGGAGCCTAAGAAAAAGCTTTAAAGCCGGTTTTTGGGCTGGGCTTTGGAGTAGAATTAGGCTGCTTCGAAATCTGCTTCAATACTGCCAGCACGGATGGGGTCCTGTGACTGTGGATGAAGATTGAAGTTTTGTGGTTTGGACCCGGCTTTCAGCTGCTGCCCATTGGGTTTCTGGGTTTTCTAGCGAAGAAGTGATTCATGTTCCCATTAAGATCAAGCCGAAATATGTTCAGGGCTTGAAAGCACAAAAGTGAAGTGTGGCAGTTACAGAAACCTCCGAGATCAGCTTGTGTCACTTCTGGTTTCTCAAAAAAGCACAAACTCCCGTGTGCTGCTCGGCTCGAATGCTGTCTTATTTTTAAACAGCAGATGGTGTTAGAAACCTGTAACAGGTGGAACCTCTTCAGTTTTATACGCGAGATCAGAAGTAGCAGCAATTTCTTGTGTCCCTGGGGGTAGTTTCTTCGCAAAAGAAGCAGCAAGCCGGCCCTCTACCCAGATATTTATTACAGAGGGAAAAATTTTTGAATCACACGTGTTCGTATGAAAGGAAGCGATTCTGGTTTGACTTACTCTGGTTATAATAAAGGGAACCTGGTCATGTTCTCCATAATTCTGTTAGCAACTCCAAAAAGAGAGATGTAGCAGGAGAAATGAGCTGGGCTTGCTGGTGTGCCTCGAGATCCGGCGCCAATCTGCCACAGTCTATTGGCTTCTTGTCTATGAGAATAGCACTTCGCACGCTTAAAGTGTTTTATAAACATTTAATTACTGCAGCTTTTGACTCAGAGCCAGGAATCTCTCATTCAGCTGCATCTTGCGAGGTCTGTGAAAACGGTATTCAAATTGCAGAGCTGCGAGAAGGGCTGAGTTCAAACTTCAGTTACGGAGACCTCGGCGAGTCGGGATCCACGAGCATCGCTCGTCTCGGCCGCCGCATCTGCCAAGTGAAT